ACCGGCGTGAGACACGGCCAGGCGGGAACGGCGCAGCCTCGACGGGCGACACACCGTGGGAAAACCGTCCTCCATGGACCTGTGCTGACACGTCCATGGGGCAGGGACCACAGCATGGAGCTGCCGCCTCCCTGGGAAACGCTGACCAGCTCTGATCCTGCTTGCTGCGGACCAGGGCAGGTGAGCAAGCAGCCTGGACTGCTTTTAATCTGCTTGGTGTTGATAGCAGAGATGCCACAGCGTTGCAGATGTCAGCCTACAGCCTCCCACCCTTGCTGGAGGGGCTGACACACACAGCAGCCTGTGTTGCCTCCTCTTCATGGCACCCAAGACCGGTGAGCCAAGCATGTGCCCTTGCCCACCCTGTGCCCAGCCTGTGGACAGCACTGCCAACACAGCCTCCATGGACGTCAGTTCGGAGGCCACCCCAGACCTCACCCAGCACCAGCACAGCCTTGGAGACTGCTCACTGCAGCACAGCGTTAGCCAGCACAGACTCACTGCTTCAGCAGCTTCAGGGCAGAGGGGAAGCCTCGAGGGTGGGAGAGGATTGGAAAGTGGTAGGGAGAAAGCTTCCCCATCACTGGCATGCCAGGCCTGGTTACAAATGGATGCAAAGAGGCTTGCACTCAGAAGGGCTTTTACCAGGTCCAACCCTTTCAATATTTCATGGAAGAACAATTCATTTGACAGCTCTGAGAAACAGCTTGGAGGAGCAGCACACGAAGCAAAGCGCCTCTCGCCCATCTCCAGCCTGGTTTCCCTTGGCATCACGAGCAGAAACTGTGCCAGCTGGGGACTGCGGACACAGCAGCGGCAGGACTGCGCTGCTTGGCCCAGCACGGCGGCAGCACGTTCCTGCACATCACTGTAAGGAGCTGCAGCTGAGCAGCTCCACTCAGAGTACAGCAACAAAAGGCACTTTTCTGATCCACCGTCTGCCTCTTCACTTCACGACTCGTTTTCTGGATTCATGACACTGCAGCTCCCAGGATGTTCAACCTCTGTGCCAAGGGGCGGAGGGGCTGGGTACGGGGAAAGCAAAACCAACGGCCCACCATTTCCCTTCATCTCCCCGGGTTTCCCCACCCTTGAAGGAAGGTGCAAGGTGGGTTAGCCTCAGCAAAGCGTTGGTCGTCTCTGGGTTTGTCCAGCGCTTACTAAGGCTGAACAAGGGCAGAGAACTTCCATCATTGGAAGTGTTCAAGGCCAGGCTGGATGGGGCTTTGAGCAACCTTGGATCAAATGAAACATGTTCCTGCTCATGGCAAGGAGTTGGACTAGATGATCTTTAAAATTTCCTTCTAACTCAAACCATTCCATGATTCTAACAGATTCTGCAACCAAAGCCTCACTTCCTCTCAAATGCCAACCCCTCCACTCATTCCTGGTTAAGCCAAGCCATGCTACCCACCAGTCTGAGACTCTCCGTATCATCTCAGACCTTCCCTTGCTCCACAACATAACAGCACTGCTTCCCTCCCGCCTTAATGTCCCAGTCCCACCGCTTCAGGGCCCATAGTTACAAACTCCTGGGATGAGTTTCTCACGCTGGTGTTAAGATAAACCACAGGTAACGCTTCTGGAGCCTGTCAGCTCTTGCCAGAGCTTGCTGCTTCCTCCTCGACGCAGATTTCATGGGATGATTGCAATCTCCAAGACAAACATTTCTCTCTCCATGGAGAACGGCGTTGGAAGGAAATGTGACCAAGCTACAGACTGTTCTGCAGCAGGGATTGGGACTGGATTGAGCTGAGCTCTGGGACACGCTCCGGGAACTCATCCCGCAGTTGTACAGGCTATTCCAGGACAGAGGCAGCACACACCCAGACCAGTCCCACCACAAAGCTGGGATGTGGCAACATCCCATGATGTAGACATAGGTTCAAAGGCTGACCTTGCAGCTGGAGAAGCTCCTCAGCTGCAGTTCCCTCTGCATAGGAGTGAGATCCCTAGGATGCTCCTCGCTGACTCACACGCATGCGTGAGCCATTTGTGACCAGCCGTGGCCCGGGCAGCTGTGCACTTGGTGAACTTGCCCTCATCTGGCTCAGAAAAAAGAACCAAATGGGTGAGGTGAGGCTCCTCGAACAAGCCTGACTGAGGCAAATATGCTGCATGTTGAGGAGCAGGCAGGTGAGATAAATGACTACAGCAACTTCAGTGCGTTTCCTACACCTGAGGCAAAGGAGTGTCTCTGGACAGGCCAGAACCTCCACCACCACGTCTTCTCAGGAACTGCTCTTGTTATCACAGACATCAGGGAAATGCACAATAAAAAAAATCACCGAAAGAGTTAGGTCAGAAGTGATCTCTGGAGGTTTCTAGTCCAACCGGCTTGCAGAGTCATCTCCAAGACAGATCACGTTGCTCAGGACCACGTCCCGTTGAGATCCGAGTATGCCCAAGGATGAGGATCCCACATCGCTGAGCACCGGCCGCCAGCTGCCTCGCTCTTGTGAGCAAGAAGCTTTTTCTTGTGTCCCATCGGAACTTCCCTCGTTGTGTCTTGTGGCCATTACTACCGTCCTCTCACTGTGCACCTCTGGGAAGAGTCTGGCTCTTCTCTTTAAACTCCTTTTTGAAGGGGAAGACTGTAGTTAGATGTGCCTCAGCCTCCTCTTCTCCAGGCTGGCCAGACCCAGCTCTCTCAGCTGTCCTCAAATGTCTTGTGCTCCAGCCCCCAGCCCATCCCAGTGACTCTCCTGCTAGACCTGCTCCAGTTTGCTGATGTCTCTGTAGTACTGAGGAGGCCCAACGTGGACACAGTACCACAGGTATGGCCTCAAGAGTGCTGAGCAGATGGGAACAATCACTTTCCTCAAGTTTTTGCCCATGCGTTTGCTAACAGAGCACAACATGCTGCCATGCTACAAGCCATGGTCCTCGTCACACATCTTCACCAGATCAGGCCAACAGCTTGTGCAGAGTGGGGCTCCCAGCTCTGTGAATCAGGGATGGGCTGGGACTGGATGTCTGAGTTTGAAACCAGTCCAGTAGAGTCAGCCAGACCTCGGAGTGACTTTTGAAGTCTAGTCAGTGGGAAAAGCTTCTCGATGGAGAGCGACACAAACGCCCAGGCAGCCAGTACCTGGCAGCTCTCATGCCCTGGAGCAAACAGTTCATTCACAGTCAACGCAAAACCAGTGAGACCCATCAGTTCCTGACTCTTCACCAGCTCCAAGGCTGGATGATCCTGGTTGCAGTTCTTTCCTCTGCCCCTAAGTCCACATGGGAGACCTTGTACAAACCCACATTATCCCTCTGCGCTGCCATTTTCTACCTGGAAAACGAGGCTGCTGTCCTGTCTCGTTTTCACTCCCTGCCTGTCTTACCTACTTGTACTGAGCACTTTCAGAGGCAGAGCCTGTACTTAGGAGCTGGGTCCTCCAGCAGCATTCAATGTACCTGCTACAATAGCTAAAAAGGAAGGAGATGAAAACAGTTAAAAGTGAACACAAAGAGTACCCAATCTGGGATAGTGCTACCTGGTGATACCCTCATCACGAGGTGTGCTCCGGCTCTGACAGAAGCATCAAGAGCTTTGTGACCAGTCTGAACTACGATGTAGAAAGAGCTTTTCTGCCATGGGACGTGGTGAAGTGACAAACACAACAGAAAAGACAGTGAGAGACGTACACTTTCTGACATGTGATGAACTCAGCTGAGCAAAGATGGTAAAAGTCTCAAAATATCTAAGCTGACTTCCCTGAACTGTTGTTTCTGAACAAACTATACACAGGTCCCCTCCATTGGGCTTCTGAGTATTTCAAAGCAGAGATTTAACAAACTGCAAAGAGGACTAAAATAATAATAAAAAAGTCTTTGTTCTTCCAGCCTGCTTTGTGCCAAGCCATTTCCAGGACCAGCCGGAGTACAGCTGGGCAGCTAACGCCGAAGATTCACTGGCAGCATTTAACCCAGCTCTGTGGGATCAGTCACTTTGTTCCACAAACTGTGACTCCTCTTTGTTCCCTCGTGACAAAAGAAGCAGAGCTTTAGGGATCAGTTCCAGGTTGGAAAAACGGTCTTTTTTTTCAATTTCCGAGTTGGAAACGGTCACTAAACTGGTGAGAATTGCCTAAGGGCACAAATTGCCCAGTGCCAAAGACGTTCCCTCAGCTGTTGGCCGCCTGGTTGTCCCTTACTCATGGAAGGTGTTTGAATTACAGTGCACGGGGTGGGGGTGGGAAGGGACCTGCCTTGTGACACATAACGGAGATGGGATTCAGAGCACTTCAGCTCGCAGAGCCACTGTCACTGTGAGATGTCAGCCCCATGACTGTGTCCCCAGAGGCAGAGTTATCCTGAGAGTGTCTCCAGGTCCACGTGTGCAGCAATGATGCAC